TGCTTGGCTGGCTGGAGCGGCAGCCTGCACACAAGGACCTTTTGATTTCTCAGCCTGGACTGTGCCATTACAGCAACGGGCAATATTTGCAAGATGTGCAAGATCCATTTTGGAAAATCATTTTAGGCGATAAAGAAAAGGGTTTAATTAAACCTAAACAAAAATATTCTTTATTTTAACGGGGATGGGCATTCCTCTAACTTGAAGAAAGCATCTTGTGCTTTAAACAAGAGGCCGCCTTCTGAAAGGGACTTAAAGGTCCTTCAAAAAGCAGCAGCCGAAACAAGCAAGCCGGGCTGTTTCTTGGGAGAGCTCTTCCCTCTCTTCCCCCTCTTCCCCTTGCCATCCCATCAACGCTGGAAAAAGCCAGGCACTTCCGGAGGTGCCTGGGCTCACGGCACCGATGCCGCCTTGTTGGCACTGGTGCCTATGGACCTCGCTGCTCCTAGCAGCCGCAGTCAGTGTGACCAGGCTGGAGAGCTTGTTGAGTGGAGAAGTCGGAGCGGGAAAAAGCTTCTCCGTTTTTCCTCTTTGTGCAGGACATTTTTGTGCTGCCTACCCACCCCCAAAAGGGGGGATGTCATCTGCCCCGATGCCACTTGTCCTGCTTCTGGGACCATTGTCCTGGCTCTGTGGGCCGTTGGTGTGCATTCAGTGGGGTGTCCTGCCTTGCCGCAGCCCCTTGTGCTCCTTTTGGTCTTTCTCTCGCAGCCTCTGGCCCTTGAATGCCTCTGGTGTGCAGCTCCACGTGGCTAGGTCATGGCCCTGGTCGTGGCCCCATTGCAAAGCGCTGTCAAAGGGTACATGGCATATACAGCACATGGTCTGTGTGGGAGCCAACAGCAGCCTCAGCTGGAGCGTGGCCAGGCAGACGGCCTTTCTCCTTGCAGGAGAGGGCTGGGTGCTGCACAGGGGAGGTGCTCTCAGCTTGCCCTCACCAGCAAGAGGAGTGGGAGAGCTCCAGCCCTGAGCAGGCGCCTCCTGCCATAGGCAGAGGCCGACCGTGAGCTCCCTGGTCAGCCGCAGGACAGTGTGGTGGGTCTGTCTGGGAGGATGCTGAAGCCTCCTCTGCACATGAACCTGAGGAGGGAGAGGTGAGAACGGACTGTGGTGGGGGGAGGGAGGGAAAGCCCTACGAATGAGACAAGAAATGCCTGAGAGACCCGAGGACTAAGCAGTACATTGTCATGGGGAGAAGAGAAAAACAAAGGAAGACCCTTTGCTTCCCACCTTTCCCCTGTCAGCAGCAGTGCTGGTGTGCATGTGTCTCCCTGGTCAGAGCCTGAATACAGGGCCCTTCTTGGGCTCCCTGCCAAGAGACACCTTTGTTACCAGAAGTAGAAAGGGGTTTTAACCAGTGTGCGCTTCTGCTGCCTTCTCCCCAGTGCCCATGCACCACGTGGAAGAGAAGAAAATGCGAGCAAATCCTTTTTGGTAGCAGCACCGAGAAACAAGAGCCATCCTGAGGTGCCACTGCTAAGTGCAAAGCTAGGGGCTGTAACAGCAACTTCTGGCCTGAAGAGGTGAAAAATAGTGTGGAGAAAGAGGAAGGCACCCTGAGAAAGTAAGGATCGGTCACTGCCCTTGGCCGTTCTCGCTGCAAGCACGGGAGAATAGTCTGGAAAAGAAAAATTGGTCTGAGAGAAGAGAAAACCTCATCGTCTGTCCCAGGTGAAAGACGGGAATTGCTGACATCTCGTGGCCACTCGACGGCCTCTTAGGGCTCTGTGGTATAAAAATGACTCCACTTCCAGCCACGAGGGAGTCAGACATGAGACTCTGTCTGTGCCTTTCTTGGCCCTTCTGAGCCTGCGCCAGGGTCTGGGATGGTGGGGTCCCCTTCTGGGATCTGTCTCCTGCACTAGGTGCCATGGGTAGGCCTGTAGGGACCCTATCCCAGGTCTGTCTGCTGTTCCAGCGCTCAGACACGGGCTTTATTAGGGAGGGGTTTGTGGTTCCTCTGAAGGAGAAGAAACACCCAGGGCAGCCGCTTTGGAGGAGCCAGGGGCTGCTCCCCGGTTGTGACTGACACCAGCAGCCCAGGAGAGCTCCCTGCAGTGAGCCCAGCTTGCAGCCGAGCATCAGGGCTCAGCTCCTAGGACCTCTCCTGAGGTGGGGAATGCCAGGGCAGTAGAGTGACCCACCAGCAGCCAGAAAAACTCCAGGAGATGCCTGGGAGGAGTCTCAGGTAGATCCCAGAGGACAGATTTTGCTTTCAAGGTGAAATATTATCTCAGGAAGCTTCCTTGGAGGAGTCTGGGGCTGCTGCCTGGGATCTCAGGGCCCTAAAGCAGAGCTCAGAAGACTCCTGGAGATGGATGGAAGGAGTCTCAGGTGATTCTGGGAGGACAGAGCATCCTCCAAAAGAGAAAAATCCTATAGAGTCCTGGGATGGAAGGCACCTCAAGGATCATCTAGACAAGGTCGCAGAGCATGAGGGAGCTGGAGAGAGAGTGGGGCTGCTGGAGCCATGCTCTGCCCTCCCTGGAACAGGGGCAGCCACCAGACAACAGTGCAGGCCATGGGGTCCCGATTCGTGCCCCCACCAGGTTGCGGGCAGTAGCCAAAGAGAAAGCAGCCAAGGGGGACAAGGCCTGTCTTGGGGCGCAGGCAAACCCCTCCTTGCGCCCCTCACCACTCCAGGTGCCTCCGTGCAGTGGGCATGGGGTGCTGGGTGAGGAAGGCCAGGCCACAGTGGGGGTGGGTGATGGTCCATCAACATCAGAGTGGCCTGCCCCCTGGCTGGCATCCCTGGCACCGTTTGGCAGGGTTCAGTACCGGGGCGGCCTGGATAGCAGCAGGCCTGCTGGCGCTGGACAGGATTGGCCTCGCTCAAGGCGGGAGGAGGGTCTTTGCCCAGCAGCCAGCGGGGCTCCTTGGCAGAGCTTTCAACTGGCTTTGGAAGGAGAAAGGGGTGGCCATTGGGCTTGCCCATGACAAGCTGTGGGATGACGTGCCCCAGTTGGAGGGACAGGGTGCTGGCGAGGGCCCTCAGCCCGTTGCTCTGGGATGTGCTGGGTACACTGCAGCGCGCCTCCAGTCTTACGG